CATTGAAGTCTCCCATTAACACCGTATATTGGGTTTTGGAGGAATGCATGGCTCTAGAGATATCCTCATACATTTCCTCCACCTCCTGATCGGGGTGTGCCGAGGTTGGTGCGTAAACCTGTATGACCTTCAGCGAATACCGTTTGGTGATTCTGAGTATAAGGTACGCAACCCTCGTCGACACACTCTCAATCTTTACAACGTTGTTAACGAGAGACTTGTGGACGATAAATCCGACACCTCCTTGGGACAGATGGTCGCCCTCCCGGTAATAGAGCAAGTTGCCGGATTCGAGGATTACCGTGTCCTCCCCCTCTCTTCGGACTTCGGATAATCCTATAATATGCCAGCGTAACTTGTCTATCTCTTCTTCCAGCTCCAGAATCTTCTCGTCAGTCCTCAGGGTGCGTGCGTTGTATGTTGCCAGGTCGAGTCGTCGTAGGTGGCAACCGAACCTCCACCGGAGATTCTTAGCACCCCCTGCCCCGCCGTTACCATGGTCGCCACCGTAGCCAGGAATAGCGGGGCCGCCGGGGACTGGGGGCCGTTTATTATTGTCATTGCTCATGGGGGGTATATTGCCATAGTTGCCACGCTTGGCGAGCGGGTTGGCAACCGCAGTTTTTTTATTGTTATTTTGGCTATTATCAGGAAGATGCTGCTGCCCATCTCCTGCCTGTTTCCCTTTGTCGCCTTTTACGACACCCACGGGAAGATATGGGGTAGTGGATATTCTTAACCGCCACTACACGGCTTTCATAATTAATGTAAGGTAATTAAAAAACCGTAAACCGTAAAATAATTAAAAATTCATCCAGCACGAATCGTCAGTAGCCTAATGGCAGGGTGCGGATCGCGAACTCGAAAGGTCGTGGGAATCCGCCATTTATTTTTTATTTTTATTTGTTTATTTAAAAAATGTTACCCCCACACTAGGATTTTCTCCCGTGTCGTGGAGGCAGTTTACCAACATAATTTGCACAAGGACAAACATCCAGACCCGGAACAATTATTTGTAGGCCATACAAATACTTGTTCCGTGCGGGATTCGAACCCGCGGCCCCCAGCGCAACAACTGATTGCTAAGCCAATGCGCCACGGAGCCGTCAAGCCGCCATTCGACTACTGTCGTGAACAACTTCCAATACAAGCATTTTAAGCTTATCAGAAGTGGTTAAAGGGAATATTAGTAACGTTTAATAGCATTACTAGCATTTAAAAAAATCTAGCCAGACTAGCCATCTGTACGGAATTACCTATAGTGCACGTGCGTCATGCCTGTGTTTCATGGTGTAGCCATTGCCAATCCACTCGCTATATAATATCTTCTAAACTGAATATGCACACAAGCACAGATGCGCTCTAAAACTAACGCTTAAAACCTAGAGATAGCGCGGGTTAACATTAGAACGCTGACGTGTAATAAAGCATTCGAAACTTCGAAAAATTAAGTGAGTTTTAATAAAACGCGACGAAATTCGTTGAATTTCTTTTATTCAATGACTCGTCATGATTGATAACATATTATCATTTTTAATTATCTAATTCTATCCTATTCTTTTAAAATTTAACAACAATAGTACTGAAAAAGATGCTCTAGGTATTTTCATGAAAAAATTTTATTTTCAAAACTGCGAAAACTTCTGTTAAAATTATTATAGGCGACCCGACCCACCTTTGGTCTGGATAGGATCTATTAATATGGGATTTAAGGTAATCGAGGGTCATTTATTTTATCAATAGTTCCTTTGTTAAATAAAAATCACGCATTTCGGAAAAAATATAGCCCAGATCCAGCGGCATAGCTCTATATATGTTCATTAAGTTTCATTTTTTTTATAGAATAATGGTGACAAACGAGCACACAGTCCACCTGATGGTAAGTGGTTGCTGTGGCCCATAGACATCTACATCTATCTTCGTTTGCAAATTAAAATGCAGATGCGTTTTCAGCCGTGAGGACTAAGATAGAATGCTTCTTTTCCAGTAAAATTGGTCTCCGGTTCTCTACACTCACCATACGAAACACAGCAGCATTAAGCTGCTGTGTTTCGTATGGTGTATTCTGTGAGAGCGTGGTCCTTCCTGGGTCGAGCCGATCCATTCGTGCTAAAACTATACTATTAATATAGCTGCATCATGGCTCTGCCACGTAAAATTCATCATCAAAATTGGTCCATCCTTTACGAAGATTAGCCCAGATAGACAGACAGATAAAAATTTTAAAAATAGTATATATTTATGTCTTAACAGCATGCACATAACCGATGAGCTTAATATTATTTATCAGTTACTTTACTGTCGCAGACAGCCATTTCTATTTTATTTTTATGTATAGATAATTTCGTACGTGGTAGATGCATATATAAGTGGTAGGTCCATGCTGCAGCTATATTAGTAGTATAGTTGTAGCACGAATGGGTTGGCTCGACCGGGGAAGGAACACGCTCTCACAGAATACCAGCGTAAAATAGCAGCATGTCACTGTTGTGTTTCGTATGGTGAGTGTAGAGAACCGGAGACCCATTTTACTGGAAAAGAGGCATTCTATCTATCTTAGTCCTCACGGGTGACGACGCATCTGCATTTTGATTCTTCATTGAGGATAAATGTAGATGTCTATGAGTCACAGCAACGACTTACCATCAAGTGGACTGTGTACTCGTTTGTCACCCTATTCTATAAAAAATATTGCGAATACAAAAACATAGATGATAATTAATAATAATGCTTTATTTCTTTAAGATTACAAACATAAACAATGTGTCCTCCTAGTAAGTTTAAAAGAAACCTGTTTCAGAAAACCCCACTCTTCCTTATCTATATAACAGCCTTAAATATGAAAACATTTAATTATATTGTTATTAAATTAAATTGGGAATCGCCTGTAAAAATAATATTTTAAGGATTAGAGGCGATTTAAAAAGTAATTATGTGTCTTGTACGTATTTAAATGCAAGTGCAAATGGTATAGGTGCTGAATGTTGTGTGTGTGCGTGTGTGTTACGGCAAAGGGTATGGTTTATAGTATTACTATTAGATTTTAGTGGGTGTGACCTTCTGCAGCGTTTTACCATTACAACTTGAGTAATCTACTATATCGCCTTCATGTAATTTTACTGTAAAATAGGTTTTTGGTTGAGTTATATTATTTATTGAGAAGCAAATATACATAGGCTGCACTAAAATTATCGGGAATGGAATATTTCCACTGTTCCTGTCATATTAAAATCTTTTTTAATTGAAAAGTACTTGGTTTTTAAAATTGAATAGCATTTATTTATTTAAAAGAGGATTCTCGGTCTTGTCACAAGGTTTAGTCAAACTTGTTTAGTCGTTGAGAAAATGCAATTGACTCGAGAAAATTCAAGAGCGATGATTTATTATGGCTTTCGAAGTGGTTTAACACAAAAACAGTGTGTTGACCGGATGATTTCTGCTTTTGGTGATGAAGCCCCATCCAAAACCACAATTTATCGCTGCTTTAATGAATTTCAACGTGGACGTGTCAAGCTCAGTGGTGATCCCCGTCAAGGTCGTCCAAAAACTGCATTCACCCAAGAAAACGTTGATTCTGCGCGTAAGCTGATTGAGGAAAATCGACATGTGACATACCGCGACATTCAGGCAACTTTATACATTGGCATTAGTCAAATACAAATAGTCTTGCATAAACAATTAGGTGTAAAAAAGTTGTTTTCTCGATGGATACCGCATTCGCTCTGTGAAGAGCAAAAAGCGGCTCGCGTTACTTGGTGCGTCAGAACTCTCGAAAGATTCCACGCAGGAGCCTCAAATGCTGTATACAACAGCGTATCAGGTGACGAATCCTGGATATATGCGTACGAACCCGAAACAAAAAACCAGTCACGAGTTTGGGTGTTCGAAAATGAGTTAAAGCCAACAAAAATTGTTTGTTCACGGAGTGTTGCAAAAAAAATGGTGGCCACATTTGTCTCCAAAACCGGCCATGTTACGACTATTCCTCTTGAGGGACAAAGAACGGTTAATGTAGAATGGTATGCTAGCATTTGTTTGCCACAGGTCGTTTCGGAACTCCGTGAAGAGAACTGCAACCGCCGCATCATCCTCCATCACGACAATGCGAGTTCTCACACCGCACACAAAAGAAAAGAGTTTTTAGAGCAAATAAAACTTAGAATTATTAGACCATCCGCCGTACAGCCCCGACCTAAGCCCTAGTGATCTCTATACTTTCCCTAAAATAAAGAATAAATTGCGTGGACAGAGATTTTCATCACCTGAAGAAGCTGTGGACGCCTACAAAACGGCGAGTTTGGAATGGTTGCTTCAATGATTGGTTCCATCGTATGGAAAAATGTGTCAAATTTCGCGGAGAATACTTCGAAAAGCAATAAATACATTTTTAAATAGTAATGTAAATTTTCAGTGTTTTATTAATATTCAAGAAAGCAAGTCAGAAATTTTAGGGAGGCCACTTTGGGATGTCTCATATACCGTGTTCCACGAAGTTCCAGAAAAACCCATCGCAGTATCGTCAGCGTAATAGTAAATTTTACCACCTTCAATGCTTAGATTAGTGAAGATATATATATATATATATATATATATATATATATATAGATTAGAAATAGAGTTGAGGCAAGTACACTCCCCTGGGGAATTTTCAATTTTCACTTTTTGTGTGCGCTCTTTTAACGCCGACGTATTCCAATTAATGTACAAGAATGGGAAGAAGGTAAGACGGTATGAAAAGCCTTTTCAGGTCCAGTCCGCGGTCGACTTGATCTATAATATTGGACATGAGAGACAGTACTGCGTTCTCCGTATATAATCCAGGCCTAAATCCAAACTGTGAGTGGTTAGTGATTATGCTGATTTTTTTTTAGATAATAAAGTTCTTCGTGTATATTATTATTTCAAAACACTTGCTAGTATTGTTTCATTAATAATCTAACTTAACAACTCGTAAAATAAGCATTTGACTCTTCCATGGAAAGGACATTAAGAATCAACATTTAATCGAAAGCTATTGCACGAAGCATTACAAAATATGAGAATGAAGTCTTCAGTATCTGCAAATGTAAAAAATATGCATTATTTGTATCCATTGTCAGCCTGAAAAAAATCCACTGCTGTACAAATTAATAACTTACAATAAGCAAACTTGTATTTACCACCATGTAAAAGCAATTACATTTAGAATTATACTCATTGTGTGTCCTCGCCTTAGAAACGTAATCATCAGTTTTAATTCATTTTTTGTAATAAAAATTGCGTAGCAAATGTCATCAAAATATAATTATAGTATTTAAAAACCTTCAGCACCGTGCAACGGTCCCGAATTTTAACTAATTCTCATATGATTGATTTGCATATGAATATTAATGTTCCAGTTCTTTGTTCATACTCATCACATAGATTTCTTATAATTAGCTATTTTATCTATATATGAGTAATATTTATTTCAACCTACCGCAGCCATAGTCTGTACTCCAATCGTCACCATATTCAGGGCTTTTATGTTTATAGGTACTTGAACATTTTGAAGAAAGAAAAGTACAAGTTTTTGATTCTCAACATTCATACATTCCCATGGTAGACCATACACAGCATCCGTGATATTTTTACCCTGTTAATGACATTTAACGTTAAATTAGTATGACACTGCCTACAAACTCGCGGTCGCAAGGGACTCACATCGTGATAGTTTAAAGAGTTTTCATTCCAGAAAAAATATTAAGCTAATACGATGACACCTGCGAACATAATACATTCTTATCTATATTCTCTAAAACTAACTGCTGGATGTGCTTTTTAAAATTTGATATAGTAATATTTGCAGGTTAAGTGTCAACTCTCTAGCGCGAATTTCCCATTTCTTTTGTTTCACGCATTTACGAGTTACGTTTCTTAAGTCTCATCTGCTGCTGAATCAATTAGATTGCCATGGTTTACTATAAAGTGGTCACCTGGTTTTGACCAATTAATAATTCGTCCAAGCGCAATCCATTGTTGTTTAAAAACAATAAATAAGAGTGGTTGTTGACTGCCTCAGTTTGAGTTTGAGTGAATGAGAACAAGATAATTTGAGTTTGAGTGAGATTAAGTGCAAATCTCGAAGTAAAAATAAAGTCCCTGTGATCGATTCAAATGAGATTTGCATCTTGAAAATGGTTAGGTGAATAAATTTGAATGATTGAATGAATATGATGTGAATGAGGGTAGAATTATGCCGTTACAATCACAAACTATTAGTCCTACATGTCCACTGCTAAACATAGGCCACAGATTGCCACATAGGGTAGATATTTGCCACAGTTGCCATTCTTGGCAAGCGGATTGGCAACTGTAATTTTTTTTTATTTTTAGTCGTTATTAGGAAGACGCCGCTGACCATCTTCTGCTTAGTTTTCCTCTGTGGTCTCTTACTGACACCCAGGGGATGATATGAGGTAGTGTATATTCTTACAACGCCATTAGAATAGGTAGAGCCACCACCGATAGAATTATAACAGAGCTTTATAAAGTAAGTGGAGTATTGGTACTTAATGTTTTTCAGGAGCAACTTAATTTTCCCCTTCTTCTTGCCACTAAGCCACAAGCGTGGAACAGATTATCTTGTTTTAAAAAAAAGATGATAATGACCTTATGAAGAACTACAGCTGATTTCTACACGTACATGCTATTTTCGAGAGACATTACGGTCTTCCGAATATACGCTCATTAGAAACCTAGCTCAGTTTAACCTACATAGTGTCTACTATATATATATATATATTACTATGGTTAGGTTTCTAACGGTTAAATCGTCAGAAAAGTATGTGTTCATGTCACACCTATACATGGGTTGTTGGAAAACTACGCTCACAATCATTAAAGAAAATGTTTGAACCAAATACTTAAAGAAAATTTAATGTTTATAGATTTAATATAACAAATATCTTTGATTTCTTCATCCATGCTAAGCCATACGAAGGGGTATATATTTTATTAAATTATTTAAATTTTTAATGATTTTGAAATCAGCACTATAATGTAAACAAATTTAGATCGCATCAATATTTTTAATGTATTTTTCACGAGGGACACATAAATTATCCCACTGGACAAGTCCAACTTTGACCAAGTGGTCAACCAACAAATCGAACTCGACTGGGTGGTCCAATAAACCTCAAAATCTTAAAACAAGTGCCTGTTGCCAGCGACGATCAACGAAATCGAAACACATTCCTTTACTTTTGAACGTATGAGAAAGCTTATTTCACCGTGAAAGGAAAAGGGGAGATCCAAGGCCGAACAAAGTGTTCTTCCCGGAGAGCGGCCAATGCTCCGTGATTATGTAGGAGCTATTCTATATATAGCGATATAGAGGCGCAGGTTCGGCCTCACATGGAATACTGTTCCCATCTCTGGGCTGGGCCTCCCCAGTGCCAGCTCCTTCCACTTGACCGCATCCAGCGCAGAGCGGCTCGAATCGTTGACGACCGAGTCCTTTCCGATCGGCTTGACTCATTGGCGCTGCGAAGAGATGTTGCATCTTTTTGCATTTTCTTTCGCATTTACCACGGGGAGTGCTCTGAGGAATTGTTCGGATTAATCCCAGCCGCCAAATTTCACGAACGCACATCGCGGCAGAACTCCCGATACCACTCACACCATCTGGATGATTGGCGGTCCACCACTGTGCGATTTAGAAGATGATTTCTTCCTCGAACAACTTCCTTGTGGAATAGTTTACCACCAGCGATTTTTCCGGACCGATACGACTTAGGGACCTTCAAGAAAAGAGCCTACTCCTTTTTAAAAGGCCGGCAACGCATCTGCAATTCCCCTGGTGTTGCGGTTGTTCATGTGCAGGAGTCGAGAAGAATGTAAGTAATCTGTGAGAGGACTGTGACACGGAAACGAGCACTAAGGCTCAGAGCCGAGCCAAACACTGAAGTACAGAGAGTAGCTTGAATGAACAGGAAACATTATTTCCAGTGCTGCAATGAACTTTGTAAAGCTAGTATATGGCTTGCATGTTATGTAGTAGCTTTTCTATACATAGCACGGTGGCTTCGGAACTTTGATAGAGTGATTTAGGCTTCGGCTCGTTTTCGCTCGTGGCACGACAACAGCGCTGTCAAAATTAAGTGTTCTGCAAGGTATGAAGAGGGCTGTGCTCGGAGTTAATTTGCGTAACAGAATCCATTTAGAAGATATCCGCAGCAGAATAAGAGTTACTTATATCGTTAATGTATTAGTAAACAATGCACAATTCTTAGAGCTATGCGGCTGATAACACTATATTGAGGCCAAACAACCATGTAGAACAGGCAGAATGTTGATATATTTAGGTGGTTCAAGTCCGTGACAGCACACTGTAATGTATGTTGGTAATAGAATCAGACAGCTGAATTGGCAATGGACTGGACATATATCTTGAATAACTGACAACCGGAACAGAAGAGAAAGGTTCTCTAGTGGCAACCTGTAAACGAAGTGAATTAAGGTCCCCATTAGATGCAGTGACGACCTAGAAGACATGTAGGAAGTTGATTAATGCAGGGAGCTCAGGATCGTGCTTTGTAATGTTCCTTGGGGGAGATGGGAGCTATAGTAGATATAATGTGATGTTAGATACCAGAGTTAGACGTTCATTTGCGATAATTCATTACATTTATATTGAAGGTGTAGTCCTTTTCATTTTAAGGTTTTTGCCATAGCATCATTTCAGCTCTGTACATATTGTATATTTATTTAAGTAGATATAATTTATTTCATTATTTAAATTAATATGTATTAAATTTCAAAGTAGGAAATGAGGGCATCCACGATTTGAACGATTTGTAAGATAAAATAAATGTCATGTACATGCTGCTATGGAAATTCAGATTATTATGTTGATGCTTAAAATGTGATATTTGTAGTACTATAATTACCTACCTGGTTAGATACGTATGGACTACTGTACTCTACAGTTATTTTGCTCCAGGCCTCATTTTTAATACGTGACGTTTAAGAGACGTGTCATCAGTCTCCTTATTTTCTACATAGCGCTATATTTTTTTTATAATACCGCGAAAGCATTTTTTCTCAATCGGCGTAAATTCATGATTCTTGCTTTCCATTTTTGTATAAATTAAATTTTCCGCGAGATCAAAGTTAAGTACCAGTCAAGATGATTTCCAGTGTTAAAAATGATACGCCAGTTTTACATTTGACACTGGCCTTGTCGTCGCTTAAATGCGTTAGGTTGTTTGTACATATTGAATTAAGTAATTAACATTTAGTTCGTATTTAGAAATACATATATAATAGTTTTAACAATTTAAGGTTTTCGAAATTAGAAAACAACTTTGTAGCGTAATACAGCTCTATTTATTTAAGTTTTAACAAAATAAAACAATTCAATAAATCTCACGATATAGCAAAAACGAAACGTGACGAATGATATTCTAAACTTCGGTCTGTGACCTAATCGTTCACGAGATCAAGCCAGTATCATTAGCCAGGTCACAAAACAGTATTCCTAAGTACAGCGTCTTAAGATACTGTTATGTGATTATTAATTAGAAACGATCTTGAGATGTTGATATCGTAATGAGGGCGTATCAAACGATTACGCACTTGAGTTCGTCATTGAGTAACGTTTATTAATACGGGCCGTAATATTTTGAACAAACGAAAATTTACGTTTTTATTTATTTATGTTGCGTATGTTAAAACATTCAAATAATATGATTTATAATTTTATGACTTATCTAATTACTTGGTGTGTATTGATGTAACGTCTCAAATATTATTTTTGCTATACCAATTCCTATATTATGATTAGATTCGTTTGGCCTAGTGGTTAAATGGAAGAGAAATTGATCAATAAGTTCGCCATAATATAAACTATTTTTGTGCATGATTTTTAAATAAATAAAAGGTACAGTTAAAAAATCTTTTATACATGGTGGAGCCATGCTGCAGCTATATTTCTGGTATAGTTGTAACACGAATGGGTCGGTTCGAACGGGAAGGACCACGCTCTCACAGAATACCAGCGTAAAATAGCAGGTTAATGCTGCTGTATTTCTTATGGTGAGTGTAGAGAACCGGACACCCGTTTTACTGGAAACGAGGCATTCCATCTTAGTCTTCACGGGTGACAACGCATCTGCATTTTGATTTGTAATTGAGGATAAATGTAAATGTGTATGGGCCACAGCAACCACTTACCATCAGGTGGACTGTGTGCTCGTTTGTCATTCTTATCCCATAAAAAAAAAACTTGCCATTGAACACATTTTCTCAAATACAACGGAGATCTGTATAAGTTGTTGAAATAGTACTATTGCAAGTACAATATATTTTCCCATAACTTCAGTATCCTGAAATATAAAAATTATTGATGATTTTTATTAAATATAAAATAAAGACAATATAATATTACAAAATAAATATAAAAAAAATATTACCATTGTAGAACATTCGCACAATACAATACATTCACTTATTTGCTGGAAAACATAATATAAACAAAGGGTTGGTCCAAACACTTCCGTCGTTCTGGAGATAAAACTAAAAATAAAGCATACCTTTGCACAAACCGCATTTAGTTTAAGTTTTTTTAATTATTATGGATGAAATAAGTATAAATAATTAATTCTTTAGTTTTTATCAAAAAAGAAAAGGTCTGTAACATTTTAAGGATAACACCTGTTTAATTTTTTTTATAGAATAAGGGTGACAAACGAGAACTCACTCAACCTGTGTGTATGATTGTAAATGGATGTTGTGGCCCATAGACTCTACATTTATTTTGAATTAATAATCAAAAGCAGATGCGTTGTCACCCTTGAGGACTAAGATGAAATGCCTCGTTTGCAGTAAAAAGGGTGTCTGGTTCTTTACACCCACCATACGAACAACAGCAGCATTAACCTACTATTTTACGGTTGAGTCGATCCATTCCTGCTAAAACCAAAATACTCTACTCAAAAGGCTCTACAACGCTATAAATGCATATTTTAGAAAGTAAGCTACAAATACAGTCGTAGTAGCTCCGCAGTAACCTGGCACCTATGAGATTTTTAATTACAATTTTAAGTGAAACCACGACCATACCAGATGCTCCCCGGTAAAGAAAAAAAATAATGAGGAAACCTGCATGTGTAAGGAATGAAAATATTTCTAAGACATGATGTCCACCAACACGCACTGGTACAGCGTAACAGACAAATTTCTCTACCATAACCCTCTCAAAAATGAGCAGAGGCCTGAGCCAAGCTGTCGGACGTACTCGTCGATGGCTGTAACTTTATTTTTGAGTTTCAAATAAAATAAGACTAATTGGCACGTAAGAACTGTACGCAATAGGTAGTAGAATACTTTACGACTAATATAAAAAAAGCTTACTTTGCTATCATTCGATGATGGATTATATGTTCTATAAGTAGCTCCTTTACCATAATTGATTCATCTTTTGTGTAAAATGCACACTGGATATGAAGTGAGTCTATAGCAAAAAATGTTTTTGGCCTTGGAAAATGTATCAAATTATTTTCGAGAATTTTCAAGTGACCCCAAATGTGAATAATAATTAAAGAAATGAACAGTTCGTCGACACACATAATTGACGTAGTGATTAGAGAAAAGAAAAAATTAAAAATAAAGACGAAGACATAACCGATAACACTTGATTCGATGTCAAAAGGTATTTCGTAATAAATCGAAAGTTCGTAGTCTGCGGTTATGTTTACAGTGCTATTATTGAAAAACAAGCCAGCTCGTGCGTTGTGTACCAAAGGTGTGACATTAAAAAGAATAACTCCAAAATATATTTGATAGTGTAAAAATTTAGAGAAGTAAGAAGAAATATTGTGAATTTTCGTAAACATCTGAAAAATAATAATATTTTAATATTTCTTCTACATTACATAATATGAACCATATAAACTATTTAAACATTTATACTACTTTTCCAGCGAAGTCCGACTTATTCTTATAGTGATACAAATGAATCTTGTGTATGAAATCAACTATTAAGTATCGATACATTTTTGTCCATGGTAATGTTATTCGGAGCTAAAAAAAAGTAATAAGTAATCTAAAGAAAGTAATAAAAGCAATTAGCGATCTATTATTGAGCTAAAATATTATTAGTATTAATTTATTTTTTGTGTTTATGCATATAGAACAAATACAACCCGTCCAACTACAGGCCTATCGCCATCTCCTTGTTCTCCAAAATAATGGAATCCATTATTAAGTGCCAGCTCATGCGGTACCTTGAGAATCACCAGCTGATTAGTGATCGCTAATACGGTTTTCGTCAGGGTCGATCAGCTGGTGATCTTCTGGTCTACCTGACTCATAAATGGGCGGAGGCAGTAGAGTCCAAGGGGAAGGAGTTGGCCGTTGGTTTGGACATTGCGAAGGTCTTCGATCGGGTTTGGCACATAGCGCTTCTTTCGAAGCTCCCTTCCTATGGACTTCCCGAGAAATTGTGCAATTGGATCACCAGCTTCCTTGCAGATCGGAGCATCAAGGTCGTTGTAGATGGTGCATGATCCGACTACAAGCCTATTAACGCTGGTGATCCACAAGGCTGTGTGCTATCACCAACGCTATTTCTTCTGCATATCAATGATATGTTGCTAACTGGTAACATTCATTGCTATGCGGATGACAGCACTGGTGATGCACTATACAACGGCCGTTCCCAGAAATATTGGAACAAACTTGTGTCTGAAGTCGAGTCTTTGCTGAACAAAGTCTTGAATTGGGGGCGACTAAATCTAGTCCAGTTTAATCCTCAGAAGATACAAGTTTGCGCGTTTACCGCTAAAAAGAACCCCTTTCTCGTATCTCCTCAGTTTCAAGGCACTTCACTTCTTGCCTCAGCCAGTATCGGAATCCTCGGAGTCGACATATCGATTGACGTGCAGTATCGTGGTCACTTGGAAGAGAAGGCCAAATTGTTCTCTAAAAAGCTTGGCGTGCTCAGCAGAGCGGGATAGTATTTCATGCCGGCACACCGCCTGCAACTTTACAAGGCGCAGGTTCGGCCTCACATGGAATACTGTTCCCATCTCTGGGCAGGGGCTCCCCACTGCCAGCTCCTTCCACTTGATCGCATCCAGCGCAGAGCGGTTCGAATCGTCGACGGCCGAGTTCTTTCCAATCGGCTTGACTCATTGGCACTGCGTAGAGATGTTACATCTCTTTGCGTATTTTATCACATCTATCACGGGGAGTGCTCTGAGGAATTGTTCGGACTAATTCCAGCCAGACAAAACTCGCGATACCATCCAATCATCTGGATGATTGGCGGTCCACCACTGTGGGATTGAGAAGAAGTTTTCTCCCTCGCACAACTTCCTTGTGGAATCGATTACCATCAGCGAGTTTTCCGCACCGATACGACTTAGGGACCTTCAAGAAAAGAGCCTACTCCTTTTTAAAAGGCCGGCAACGCGTCTGCAATTCCCCTGGTTCCCCTGGTGTTGCAGTTATTCATGGGCGTCGGTAGTCACTCATCATCAGGTGAGCCGCATGCTCGTTTGCCCCCTCTCCTATATAAAAAAAAACAAAATATGCACAATATAAATTTAGGGCTCATGACTTTTTGATTACTGCAATCAGTATTTACACCCCTTTTTTGTAAAACTAAAGTGGCAAACGAATTTATCGCTAACTCTGTTGACAAAAAATTAGTCAGTTTATAGTACATTACATACTATATATAGCTAGCTATAAGGGCTACCAAGGGTCATAAAACATACGACGAAGCGTACTACAAACTGACTTTCATTTTGCTCTCAATAAAGAGCCATAGATCCGTGATGGTATGTGGCCATGACTGTCCATGGGCCATGCATGCAGCTAACTACAATACAAATGCTTCACAGTAACTAAACTAGCTGTCGCTACCTTTTAAACCAGAACGTGCCAGCATTGTTATTTGGTGGCCTCAAAAAGTAAAAGGCAAGTTTTCTAAGTATTCTTTTCTCTTAAAATGAATGTCATAATAAATATTAAAGTGTCTTACTAGGCAATTTATGGCGAGAAGTGCAGTAATGTAAGTGTGCCCCATAATCAAGAAACTCAAAACTCCTATATTGTTTCTTATGTAAATTAACTCGGCAGTCCATACAATCAATATTAAGACGAACAGAAATTTGTTGTTTGTAAAAGGTATAGGATTTTTGGAGTTCATTTCTTTGTGTGGCCATGAATCAATTACACTTAGCGAAAATATCACTTGTTTTATGTACTGCAAGTCCAACGGTGAAACTTGATTCCTATGTGCCAGATAATTTTCATTTAATTAGTAAATATAGATTAGTAAGAGAGATTGAATGCATAAATAATAGAAGAAAAAAACAAACCTTCCCGATAATTCTGTGGTATCCATTTTTACATTTATGTTCCATGCAATGTTTAACACTGAATACAATTACTGGATTTTATCTACAATATTAAAAACTACGATAATAAAAAAGAAAAACTAAAACTAGAAACTTAATTATCATATAGTCCTACTCCCCGCGGTATCGTGCCAAGAACGCTGGCTGCGTTTCCCCGCTGAATGGCTATACTTAGCAATGGCTTTACTTATTACTGGATGAAAATTTATATAGGTATTTGACTATGATAATTCTTTTTTCAAAGTATTAATAAATTATGTCGCGTGATTATGTCATCAAATAGTTTCAATATAAATAAGCTTAAAATTTGTCTGTTAGGATATTAAATGCACAGCACATAAAAATGGGTTAGCGATAAATGCTGTGACGAATTGGCGGGAGAATAAAATAGTTAAAAATATAATATTCAGCAATAGAGTCGAATTGCAAAAATAAAAATGTATTTTATGTAAGCTTTATTACTTTTAATGTGTCGTCGTAAAGGAACCACTACAGATGTTAAATGTAATTTAATAACTAAGATCCGTTTTGATAATAAAATGGTGCTCTTAAAACTAGATGATGCACATCTAGTTTTAAGAGCACCTTCAGCACTCCAACAATAAAGTACACTGGCATGATTCCATCCATCCATCTAGGCTTGGCGCTATATATAGCGCAGCCTACTTCACCTTATGGTGCTTCCCGTAAAGTCGAAACTCGTATTTATATTATCGATAGCAGTGTATTTTTCCTATTATTGTGGGTTAGTATGTGGATTTGTGGTGGAAGTGAAGGTACACGGATTTCTGTGAGAACATAGTCCTTCCCCGGTCGAGCCGACACATTCATGCTACGAACATCATATAGCTGCAACATTGCTTTACCACGTATACTTATATAGTAAATCCATGTTGCAGATGCCATATATATAAAACGCTCGATTCTATTATAATTAAAATAAAGTTATATAGTTAACAGTTACTTCCGGAGAATTACACTTGTTTCTTGCCTAAGCGATTATTGGAAGTGCCTTATTAAAAATGATGAATTGTGAATCATAATTTAAAAAAAAACTAGCTACATGAGAAAATACAGGTGAGTGATTATAATAGAATCTGAATAATTTATTTTAAAGACATTTAATTAAAGATTAATTAGAGTGTACCTGTTTTATTTAAAATCATATTTTGTTACATTAATTTGTGCAACTAACTGCGCATCTTTGTTAGTAGCTTTTTTTATAGAATAAACATAAGAAAATTAACGAGCACACAGTCCATCTGATGATAAGTGGTTGCTGTGGGCCATAAATATCTACAAATTTTATCCTTAGTTAAGAATCAAGATGCGTTGGCAATCCTGAGGACTGAGTTGAAATGCCTCATTTCTAGTAAAAAGGGTCTTCATTTGTCTACACTCACCATACGAAACCCAGCAGTATTGAGCTACTACTTTACGCTGGAATTCTGTAAGAGCGTGGTCCTACACCGGTCGAGCCTACACAATCTGTGCTACAACCATAACATAGCTGCAGGGTGACATAAAACGTGTAAAAGAGAAAAACCAAAGTTTTTCATTAAAATATCTTATATATCTTTTTTTTTGACTTCCGCGACTGGAATTAATCCAAACTATTCCTCAAAGCACTCCCCGTGGCAGATGCGATAAAATGCGAAAAGAGATGCAACATCTATTCGCAGTGACAGAACTCGGTCGTCGACCATTCGAGCTGCTCTGCACTGGATGCGGTCAAGAGGCAGGAGCTTGTACTGGGGGCGATCCCCTTCCCAGAGATGGGAACAGTATTCTATGTAAGGACCTGCGCCTTGTAAAGTAGCAAGCGGTATGCTGGCATGAAATACTGTCCCGCTCTGCTGAGCACGCCAAACTATTTAGAGGCCGATTTTGCCTTCTCTTCTAAGTGAACGCGAAAGTGTACATCACTCGATGTATTAACACCGAAAATTCCGATACTGGCTAAGGCAACAAGGAGAGTGCCTTGAAACTGAGGAGATACGACAAAGGGGTTCCCCTTAGCGGTATACGCGTAAACTTGTGTCTTCTGGGGATTAAATTGGACTAGATTTAGTCGCCCCAACCCGAGACTTCGTTCAACAAAGACTCGACTTCAGGCACAAGTTTGTTCCAGTTTATAAAGCATCACCAGTGCTGTCGTCTGCATAGCATTGAATGTTATCAGTTTGCAACATATAATTGAAACAGCGTTGGTGATAGCACGCAGCCATGTGGAACATCACCAAATATAGGGTTGTAATCAAAGCATGCACCATCTACTACGATGTTGATGCACCGATTTGCAAAAATACTGGTGATCCACTTCCGCAATTTCTCGGGAAGCCCATAGGGAGGGAGCTTCGAAAGAAGCACTTTGTGCCAATCCCAATCGAAGGCCTTAACATCGTGCAAACTATCGGCCAATGCCTCCCTCTTGGACTCTACTGCCTCTGCCCATCTATGATTTAGGTAAGCCAGAAGATCACCAGCTGACCGACCTCGACAGAACCGGCAGTCACTAATTAGCTGGTGATTCTCAAAGTAGCGCAAGAGCTGGCAGTTAATAATAATTTCCATTATTTTGGAGAACAAGGAGGTGATGACAATAGGCCTGGAGTTGTTCGGATCTGAGCGGTCAACTTTTTAAGGAATTAGGTGCACCAAAGCTGTGTCTCTTGAATTCAGTACAACGTCTAGGGAGTAGGAGTACCGAAAAAGACGCATTAAAACCGGTGCCAACTCCAGAGCACACGTCTTCAGTGCAATAGGAAGTGCCATCAGACTCACTCGAATTGTTGACATCAGGGGTGTGCTTTGTGCACCGAGCGTTGGGTAAACAGCATATCCTGTATGGAGCACTAACATTGGTTTTTTAAAATATTTATTTACCATATTACAAAGCATTACAAAAAAACTATCCTAAAAAGTCACATATAGAAAACCACTAAGGTTTGTGATGACGCGACCTGAGTCGACGTTATATTAAAGTATAATTAATTTAGTTTGAAAAAGAAAACATTACAGCCTAATTAGGACCCGAGCAAACGCATATACGCTGTTTTAAGTAGTAACATTTTTTTTATAAATTATTGTATTGTGTGTGTTGTATGTGTGTATTGCCCCCATCATCAAGAGTCAAGTCGGACGCAAAGAGAGTGCCTAGCAGATCGGCTTTCTCCTTTGCGGCATGGGCCATTGAGCCGTCCTCCTTGTGCAGAGATGGGAGAGATGGTTTACAGAAGTTCCCTTGGACAGCCTTGACGAGAGACTAGAATGCACGAGTTCCCGAAGAAAGTCGAACCAGTTTTTCGTCAATTCTGCCGATGTGCTTTGATTTTGCCTTGGCAGTGACAATTTTGAAGGACCAGGAGGCGAGATTATACTTCTATATGAGATCGCTGATATTTGCATCCAAGTCATCAATGCGTCAGCTCAGGCCCATAAGGCAGTCCTGCTTATTGTGTGAAGCAATTTTGTGTGAGTGACCAAACCATAGCTAAGTTCTGCCTCCGCGACCTCATTGATAGAATAAAAAATTCCATTTCTTGAAGCACCACATCAACGAAAGAATCAGCAACAACTTTGGGACCATCCAGCGAGAAGCAAGCCCCCAAGGTTAGGATGCACTCATCGAGGATAACGATCTCTGCAGATGTGACCTATTGTAGCACGGAGTCTGCAGGAGTATCGCTACATAGAGATTTCCTCTAGGCAACCAAAGGTGTAAAGGAATAAAAAAAATACTAGGTAGGTGGTACAATATAAATATACATAATATAATATCAATACCTGCAATAAAATAACATGTAAATATTTATTTATTTATTTAAAACTTCATATACACATGTGGTATATAGGCGGACTTAATGCCTAAGGCATTCTCTACCAGTCTACCTTGGGATGATGCAGAGATATAATGAAGTAGGAGTAATAAAAAGGTAATATGTTAATACTAAACTAAAATAACAAAAAAAAATTGTAGCACATCGAAATAAAATACATAAGATATAAATGTTAATAAAAAATATAATATATATATATATATAATATAATATATATATATAATATATATATATATATATATATATATATATATATATATATATATATATATATATATATATATATATATATATATATACTTATAAAATAAATTATGATAAAAATAATAAGATAATAAAAATGTATATTACTTAAGTACATATTAAAACGTCAGATGTATGTAAACTCATGAAGATATACAATTATAGACATAATGAAATAAAATATATATATATTTATATATAAAATATATATAAACTATTACTATGATGAATCTGCCAATTTATTAGTTATGTATTCCCGAACCTTCATCTTGAACGCGTAACGATTGCTAGCCGTCCTGATTTCGAGAGGTAGTGCGTTCCAAAGGAGAATAGATTGAATGTGGAAAGAGGAATGAACAAGTCCAGAGCTATGGGAAGGACATAGGAGAAGAAGGTTGTTCGTAGAGCGGAGGTTTCTCTCATGACTAGCGCTAAGCAACTGAAAGTATGGAGATAAGTAGGAACAGGAAGTTGGAGACATCAGGATAGAATAAAGGGTAGTGAGTGCACGCAAACTACGGCGTTGACGAATAGGTAACCATTTTAATTGAGATCGATACGTGGATACATGGTCATACTTTCGAAGATTGAAAATGAATCGAATGCAGTTATTCAGAAGACGGTCATATTTATTGAGAAGATCTGCATTCAGGTCGAAATAACACACATCACCATAGTCGATTAGGGGAAAAATTAAGCTTTGCACAAGCATTGCTTTGGTTGCAGATGGCAGAAAATTTTTTAGGCGATAGAGAGAACGCAGGGTACCGGTAACTTTCTGGCTGACGGTCGTTGCTTGGTCT